GTGCTCATATATGGTATATCCATTTGGGCTGACGCATTAGAAATGCAAGAATCTTGGAGAAAAGCGGGTCCCATTTACAGACAGAGCGCTCTGAGAGTTGCCAGTGCCTTCCGCACAATATCAGATGAAGCAGTGTGCGTCATTGCTGGAACCCTATCGCTTAGAGTACTAGCAGAGGAAAGACGGGCCCTTTAACAACGAAAAAGGTCAACTACACTGAGCCCTGAAGAACTTAGAACAGAAGAACGGCAGCACAGCATCTCGCGATGGCAACTTGAGTGGGACGCCGCAGCAAAAGGAAGATGGACATACCGCCTCATACCAAAGATCGATGTTTGGCTGAACCGAAATCATGGCGAAGTCAACTATTATCTAACGCAGATGTTGTCTGGACATGGGTGCTTTCGAGAATACCTGCACCGCTTTAAGCATGACGATTCTCCGGAGTGCCCGTCTTGTCCAGGAGTTATTGAGGACGCAGAGCACGTTTTCTTTGCGTGTCCACGTTTTGATCCTCAGCGAAATGAGTTAGAAAGGATCCTGAACCGGAGAATCCAACCAGAGACAATAGTAGAGACAATGTTGTTGAGTCAAACTGCTTGGAACGCTACAAGCACTTTTGCCACAGAAGTCCTTACAGAGCTGCATTCCATTGAAAGAAAAAGAGCGAATGACAGAAACTAGAAGGAAGAAATAACGTCTTAGCCACCAGAAGGAAGAGCGGCAGCTAATTCCTCCCCCCGCGAAGAAATGCCTTACGGCGATACCATGGGGGATCAGAGGATAGAAGAGAAAGGGGTTTAGGGTAGGGGCGTCAGCGTCGAGTTTTAGTATGACACTGCGTCGAGTCGCCACATATCCAGGCCAACAACTATGCCTAGAATCCGTAAAAAGGATTCCCCCCCACAAAAAAAAAAAAATAACACACACACATACATACAGATATAGTGACAACCTCGCGGGGATAGTCAGGGAAGCTTCCTGTGACCTTCAAACGTCTAGATTTGATGAAAACTCGATTTTTGCAAAACGAGGTGAAAACAATAACTTCCCGATTTTTGAAAATCTGAGATTTTTAGCGGGAAGTTAAAAAATTTTTTTTGTACTTTTTTTTTTACTTTTTCGAATTTTTTAAAAATAGTAAAAATTGAAATTTGGGGATGATCCTAGTTCATGCCATAGCGACATTACTCTAGATTGATAATCTTTTTTATTTTTTTATTTCCGATTGCTAGGAGGGTTGAAATCGTGGGTATGGTCACGTGCCAATTTTTTGAGCCCCCCCCCCCCACTTCATCAGCTGCTACTTTTTTAAATTTCCAACTTTTTTATTTTTTTCTGTATTCTTGTAATGTTAATAAATAACTTATAAAAAAATGGATGGTAAAAGTATTGATTGCCTTTTTTTGCGGCACATCGAAAAATTACCTGAAATTCATGCTTCTAGACTAGAATACCCCCTTAAATCCATGTTAGGCAAAACGAAGATCGGCATGCCAAACTTGCATGTAATTTGGTACATCTATGGCAAGCCGAACTTCGGTGAACCTTTGGAATGGCTGACTAATTGGAAGTAACGATAACCAAAGATTTGCCGAAGTTTGGCTTGCCATAAATGTCCCTAGTTACCTTTAAGTTTGGTAAACCGAACTTTCGTAAGCCTTTGGATTTTATGATTTTCTGCAAGTTAGGCATTTCAAACGTTTGCTGGACTTCGGCGTTTCTTGCCAAAGTACTCTAAAACGGAGTGGGGGAAGATATTTGGCTTCAAATCTTTCCAAGGTCGAGCCTTTTAGTTCATTAATGAGGCATGTCGAAAAATCAGTTTGGAGCGAACTTGGCTTTCCGAACTTAGGCTAGCCGAATTCGAATCTTATTTATTTTAAATTAGGCAAGCCGAACATTGGTTTTGCTTATAAGTGTCTTGAGGCAAGAGGTCGCTCATCATCGGCGTAGTGTCGCGGTATGGTACAGGGTTCTCGTGCATCGGGTACAGGTTTGAGTCTCGCGTTCGACATATTTTTAATAATTGATAATTATTAATTATAATTACTTTTAAGGCGAGTGTGAAGTAAATTTAAGTGTTGTGTCACTAATGTATCTAACTCTTCCATCATCTCCTTCCTCCTTGACTTATAAAATCCCCCAATCAAAAAAAACTTCTTCATATTAAAAAAAGCGCTAAAAAACAAACAAAAATAGTATGAAAAAATAATATGAAATAATACCGAAAAAATAATATGAAATAAAAGAAAAAAAATAAATTTTTTTTATTCGCCGAC